GAGTGAGGTAGTTTTTTTCATGCTCTTTCAATTGTCGAGAGGCATATGCTATCACCTTTTTCCTTTGGGTCAGAACACTACCCAAACCGACTCCCAACGCATCGCTATACACCGCGAAGTCTTCAACTGCATCGGGTAGAGAAAGAATCGGTGTTGCACATAGCTTCTTCTTTAGCTTCTCGAATGCCTCTTCGTGTTTCTCACTCCATGTATATGTAGCTCCTTTGTGGCTCAACGCTGTTAATGGAGCGACTATCCAAGAAAAGCCTTGGATAAATCGTTGGTAATATCCAGATAATCCTAGAAAGCTTCGAATCTCCGTGGGACTCTTTGGACGTTCCCACTTCATTACAGCTTTGATTTTTGCTGGGTCAACCATTATTCCCTCCTGGTTAGCCACATGACCCAAGAATTGGACTTCCCAGATCCAAAAATTACACTTGGAGAACTTTGCATACAGCTTCTCCTTCTTCAGCACTTCTAATACTTCCCGTAGATACTTGCCATGCTCCTCTTGGTTTTTCTAGTAGATCAGAATGTCGTCGATGAACATTATCACATATTTATCGAGGAATGGTTTACAAACACTGTTCATCAAATCCATGAATATTGCTGGAGCATTGGTTAGTCCAAATGGCATAACCAAGAACTCGTAGTGTCCATATCTCGTTCAAAATGCAGTCTTCTCAATATCCTGATCTCTCACCTTCAGCTAATGATATCATGACCTAAGATTAATCTTTGAGAAATAGCTCGAACCTTGCAGTTGATCGAATAGGTCATCAATCCTTGACAATGGGTACTTGTTGTTGGAAAATAATCCAATTGTATGTTTGTGGACCATTTATGTAATTAATTAAGTTCATAAGAAATAAATATTACTTGTATCCTTAGGTTTGCCTAAATGACTAATTAGGTCCCATATTTATGTCTTACATTAATTGATGGGATTAATTGTAATAGCAAGGACATGAGAGGCCTAATATGGATTTCCCAAGAGATGTACTTGATATATAGCGATTAGAATGCAGGGAGATTAACAGCTCTTCACGTTCTTGATCGTTTCTCTCCATAACAACATCCTAAGAAACATAATCGATTGCCTAATCTTCTCCATCGTAAGAGTGCATCGTCTTGGCGAATCATTGATCATAAGGCAGTGAAGACCATGAGATTAACATCATTCTCCACCCTGTAAGTTCTTATCTTTATCATCATTCTGTCGATATGAGATTGTACTGAATTGATTGAGAATATCGTTCGACGTGGCCATTAATTCTCAACATGTGGTATCAAAGCTTCGTTAATTCTCAATTTGTTCACTCAATTTCATGTTTCAAGAACCCTAATTTTGTAATTTATTTCACCAGCCCTACATAAATATGATGTGTTCTACATTAAAAAAAAAAAAAATAAAAAAAAAAATAAAAAAATCAGAACGATTGGTAGGATAAAATAAAGATTTTCAAGGCCTAATTTAATATTTTAAGGTGTATTAAATAATTACCCAGAACTTAATTGAAACGATGATTCTATGTTCCGTTGAAATTGGAGTTTTTTAAACCCGTATATTTTTACGACGATTTTAAACATAATTTTAGATTTTAGATGCATTTGATGAAGATATAATGTTTCCTCTAAATTTTCTTGTTCGACGAATCACAATCCAAATAACTTGTAATGGAGAACTGGTGTATAATTGCGTTGTTTGCATGTTTATCGATGCCTTAATAAAATCAATCCAAAACAAAATTTTATGGCGGCTGTGCAATTATCAAGATGAGTCCACTTAGGTTTTAGTGTAAAACTATGAACAAAATCGTTTGCCATTTTTTCCCCATCAATTATGTGATTGGCATCTCATTCTAATGTTAAATGTTCAGTGACAAAAAACTCATGACTAGGAATAACAAACGAGTTTCAAACTGAATTTCATAAAAGGGATCAATGTTATTTTCGTATTACTTCAATTATAATTACTTTTTATCCTTATTAGTTTGGTTGCATAGCATGATTATTGAATCATGTGAGCTGTTATTCTATGAACCGAATGGAAAATGGTTGATAGCTTAAATGATGAAATTGAGCATTACATGCATAACCAAACGTGAGGTAGACATCATATGTAGTGTGTCCATTAAATTGGATATGGATCATTTCGTTATTAAAATCATCTTGAGAACATTGATGTATGCCCGACGCGTTCTTGGTTAAGGGATATAAATAATTTGTGTCGGTTAATAATTGTTATCCTACTAAAAATATGAAAATCAATCTAAGTGGCTTTGTGCATAACTCTCTTTGCCAAAGTTTGGAATAGGTATTATTATATTGATCCAATTAGAAATTCCGTGTATGTGAATCCGTCAGTAGTTTCAAAAAATTTGTTGTTGGTATTTTCTAAGGCATGATTGTAATTAGAAAACACTTGAGTCATGTATTTATTTTTCTGTCGTACTAACATATAGTGTCACACTAAATATTTGATGAATTGATAATTGGTTTAAGCAATCAATTTTGAATGCCCACTAATTTATCTAGAAGACCAATTAAATAAAAGATCAATTGTTTGTGTGTGTATTGTAATTTGACATGGAAAAGTCATTTGACATGGAAAAGTCAGTGGATGGTTCATCCAATCCGCCAAACTAATCCTTATACACGGGCTCCATGTAGAGATGCACAAAACCCGAATCCGATCCGATCCGATCCGGATCCGAATCCGATCCGGTTTCGCTTACGTCATCAAAAATCCGATCCGGTCAAAATCCGATCCGAATCCGGTCAAAATCCGATCCGGTTCTAACCAAAATCCGAATCCGATTCTAATCCGATTTGAAACCGGTTTAAACCGATTTTAGTGGGTTTTAATCGGATTTTGGGGCGGATTTGGATCCGGTTTTTAGCGAATCCGGTTTACGATCCGGTATCAAATCCGATTTGGAATATAGGTTTAGGATCCGATTGAAAATCCGGTTTTAAATCCGATCCGATCCGGTTTGGTCAAAACCGGTTTTGACCCAATCCGGTTTCGGATTGGATCCGGTTTTGAATAGTGAATCCGGTTTTTGTGTGCATCTCTAGCTCCATGAAGTCATCGGCTCTTTTGTTGATTGAAATTTCAACGTTACATGAATGACAATGTTTTTTGGAATTTTATTCCATATGTTAATTAACATGAAGGATTTAAGTACTAAAATCCATAAATATTAAAAACATCTTTCTTTAATTTTGAAAATCGTAATCTGGGGTATATGTTTAGCATATGTCTCATGTGGAGTACCGAACTATCCTTCGTTACCGCCTCATGATTCCCATATTCCTAATTGACGAGATATGCCCAGTTTGTCGCAAGGCATGTTTGGATATCTTTGGGGAACACGTGGTTCATTGTAGAGAGCTCATTGGTTTCAAATATAGACATGATGTGGTTCGGGATGTTCTCTTTGATGTTTGTCGGCGTGCTGGTATATCTGTGAAGAAAGAAGCGTCAGTGAACTTTTTGACGGACCCGCAGGATGGCAGGTCCACACTTAGACCGGCTGACATTTTGGTCTTTGGTTGGATAAGAGGGAAGCATGCGTGCGTGAATCTTACTGGTGTATCTCCTCTCGTTGGTTTGGGGGGTGGAGGTTTCGCAGCTGGGCATGCCGCTTTGAGAGCCGATGCGTGCAAAGTGGTAAAGCACGACAATGCATGTAGAGAAAATCAACACGTGTTTGTTCCTTTTGCATTCGATACATTTGGTTTTCTCGCACCAGAGGCGGTGGAGCTCCTTAACAGAGTCCAACGGGTCATGCATTCTAATGTCATATCTCCTAGATCCACAAATGTTGTTTTCAAAAGAATAGGTTTTGCCATCCAAAAAGAGCTAGCAGCGCAGCTTGTTGCCCGTTTGCCTTCAATCGATATGTATTGAATTCAATTTCGGAATAATAATTTGACATTTACGTAAAATCAAATATCCTTGCAATGTTCAGTTGAATATTAAATTCATCTCAAGATCAATTTTAAAATGGAAACAGATTCTTTAAGTAATTTTAATATCTATTTTGGAAATAAGTTTAAAGACATCCAAATTAATAGATAAGTGGTTATCTACCGTGTTAATCTTAAGTGACTGGACCAAAGAAAGGTTACTTGAGTTAAACATTTGGGTTTATTAAACACCACATTATGAAATTGTGTGAGTTGTCATCTTATGAACCCAACGACTAATTAGATAATGACTCATACAATAAACTATAGCATAATGTCAATATATATCACACTAGTTCCCAACGGTGATGTGTAATATCTATGTAGCATAATATAGCTTAAGAATGCCTTAAACATTTGGTCACTACTTACAACCAAATGAAGTTAAAGCATTATCGCATAGTATCGCATTCCTGCCCAAAGGTGTTATGCAATGCTATCACTACTAGAAAAACAGTCTTTTACGACGCTCATTGCACGTCGTAAAACACTCAAACGACGCGCAAATGCGCGTCAAGGAAGGCCCTGTCATAAAGAGAGACGACGCGCATTTACGAAGCTCATTTACGACGCGCAATTACGACGCGCGTTTACGACACGCAATGCATATCAAGGAAGGCCCTTTCATAAAGGAAGACGACACGCATTCGCGTGTCGTAACCTTACGACGCGTGTGTTAATGACACGCAATGCGTATCAAGAAAGCCCCTGTCAAGAAAGGCCATGTCATAAATGAAGATGACACACATTTTTGCGTATCATACTATTATATGTTTAAAAAAAAAATATTATTTATAGATTTATTAATTTTCAAATTAAATTTTCATTTAATGTCTCTTAATAAATAAAAAATCATATACAAAAATACAATCCATTGCACAAAATATAATGTCATACAAATAATCGTTCCATGGAAAGATAAAACAAATCAATAAAAGTTGTAACGAAAATTTACAAACTAATTAGATACAAGAAATATGAAAAACTTGAAATCTTTAAGATTAATAATTCTAACAGAAGCTTCACGTGAGATACATACAGTTGGACCAGTAAGCAAGGATGTTCCCGAATCCACAATAGCAGCAGAAGAGCACGTACACGATATCTTTTGCAAGAAGGTGCCGGTCCAAAACTACTGTTGAAGGTTGCCATGATAGCTGTTAAGATTTAAGCATAACAAGAAACCAATCAGTGACTATAATAAGCTAGAAAACAAGAAACTAATAAACAAAATAAGCAACTAATTAAGTCAAACTATGACTATGTATTGTTCATACAAGAAAAAGAAGGAAAAAAATGTTGATTTATTGTTGTTCATACAACACTCTCCAGAGAAAAGAATAAGGCTAAACTTACAAAGAAAAAGAATTCAGGAAGAAGACAAGTTTGAAAGCATACAGAATAACGTTTAGCCAAGCAAGTGTGATCTACTTGTAAAGTTGAAAACGCAAAATTCTGAGTAAATGACCTAAATACCCTCAGAATCATAAATCATAATAACAAGTAACAGACCTTGTAGGAGGCAACGCAGAGGTCTGGCCAGATGGGTTTACCTGGCAAAAATGTTAGAGCACCAGGGAAATTCTGATCACATGGATCCCAATGACCACCATCTTATAATTCAACCAAGCTAAGAGAAAGTTATCAACCTCTACCATATATATATATATATATATATATATATATATATATATATATATATATATATATATATATATATATATATATATATATATAAATTAATTGAAAAACTTGTAGTGTTTCTATTTCATCATGTATTAAAATAGCATGAACGGTTGTACCTCTCCATCAGGTGAGAAGCTCAAAACAGAAATTGTTGTATTCCCATGCATATAATATTAACCAACAACTATAACACATGCATATAGTATTACAAATTACAACATTACCCCTTTCAAAAGCGAATGTGCTTCACTTGACAAGAATCCTAGATGCTTTATCTTGTCCTTCACTATTTTCTCCTGAATCTTTTGTCTGTTTCCACCTCTAAACGAAGGCTGCAAAGATACAATGTCGAACAAAATTACATTATTACCCTCACGCTAAAAGTAATGGGAATTTAATAGTGATTTATTAAAAGTAATTAAGGGTGACAGCACACCAACCTTTCCAGAAAGCATTTCATACGTTAAAATTCCAACACTCCACCAATCAGCGGCCTTATCATGGCCCCTCCCTTGTACAATTTCAGGTGTCATACCTTATATTTAGTAAGGAATGGAATATGGGATATGGGAAACATACCTTATATTTAGTAAGGAATGGAATATGGGAAATCATTTCAAAATCTTCAGTGTCTGCAGCCATCACTACAAATTCAGAAAACCCCTATTCAGGTCCCTTGTAACTGTTTAAAAAAAAAAGAAAAAAAATAGAAGTTAGAACCAACATTAAGAACAAAATATCAAAAATAAATATCAAAACAAGTCAGAATAATATTCACAAAGTTGATAAACTTTGGTTAAGAAAAACAACAAGAAACATAGCCAATTTAGTTAGGCATTGAAACAAACCTGAATAATATCAAGCATTATGCAACTCTGGGAAAAGATAAGAACTTTATGGCCTTCCGGAATAAGATTACCCTGTAATTGAATAAAAAAATACATTGTAAAGTTGTACCTAATGTTATGAAATACACATTCAACTGATTAAGATTTTCACTGCTGTTATGAAAAATCTACATTTGTACCTGATGTTATGAAAAATCACATTGTACATTTGGATGACCTAGAAGCAAAAGTTTTCACTTTATGCAGAACCATGAACTATATAACAGTGTATGGCATGACCAAGAGAAACTTTATGCTGCAAATCCTTCAAGGATGGTTGGAAACAATCATCTTTCATCTCATTATTAGACTGACTTCTAGCAACAGCAGCTGGCTAGGAGCTCATTGATTTCTTCTAATAATGGGCATTGGAGTGAAGGTGAGAATGGAAATAATGATATGAGACTACTGTGACCAAGGGTATGATTGTCATTTTCTAACACAACATACCCTTTTCTGTTTTCACCTGGAATTAATTTTCACAAAATAAAAAAAAAACATATAAGGTTTTCTCAAGTATCAACTATAAAAAATAAAAACCAATTCCCACTAATCTTGATTGATGTTACTGCTATTCAGATGAAAGAAGAAGAGGAGAGAATTAAAATAGAGAAAGGAAAAGAAGGAGCTACTGTGGATCTTATGCAAGGGCTTCTTGCCAGCACTAAAGAAGTTAAGGAACAAAATGATGGGTTTGTTGATGTGGTGAAGAAAACCAAAGGAAATAATGGAATTTTTTTTTCAAAAGAAGCTACAGGGGGGAAAAACAGTTTTCAAGTCAGGGGCATGAAGGGAATTTCTCGAAAAATGAAGGTTCAGGGGTTTTTGCTGGAAACCGTAAGCAGGGGCAAAAAGGGAATTATCCGAAAATTGGAAATTCTGGGGCTTTTGCTGGAATTCGCTATCAAGGGTATAATGGGAATAATCAGGAAAATTTGGAATTTAGTTTTGATAGAGGTGGGAAGACAGGAGGTAAAAATGGGCAGGGGTATTATGGGAATATTCAGCCAATGAAAGGAAAGTCTAATGATTCAAAGATTGAACAGGGGCAAAGTTGGAAAAGTAACAAGGTTATGGGAAAGAACAAGGATGGGGGTGATGTTTCGGAAGTCAAAGGGTTTGTGGGGAATAATTCTATGAGTCGGCCTGACCAGGAAGCTAAAAAATCAGAAGCAGGGGTGAATTTTAATGGTAGCAGGCAGGGCTATATTCCGAAATCTGGGGCTCGATTTCAAAAATCGATATTATGGCTTGCTTTTAAAATCGATTTCATTAATTTTATATAAGAAGGGTACAGATGACCTAATTTTATATAAGAACTCTAGAACTGATACATACCTTTCTCTTTGATAATTTCTTTTAAGATGACTATTGTTTAGGGCTATCAACAACACCATCATCTCCGCTACCATAGTGTAATAAACAAAGCACCATTGAAGGCCCTTCATCATCTTCCGCTGCCATTACTTCCTTGAGTGAAAATTTCGAACTCGATGGGAGAGGAAATGAGTCGCCAATAAGAAATCTGAAATCATAAAATCAGATGGGAAGAAATCTGTGAAAAGAGTTGAATTCGTTTGAGATGCCGATGTAAATCCTTAGAAATCTCAATCGAGAAGAGAATGGAGAGCCGCTTCTTTTTTTGGCGCTGAATCGTTTCACCACCGGTCGATCACCACGGAAACAGGAGAACTGGAAGCTTAAAATAAAATAAAACCCTACACATAGGGTTTATATATAGTGAGGCTATTAGGGTTATCTAACAAGGAAACCCTAATTTGGATGCTTAAGCCCTAAGCAACCCATGAACCCCCTTTCCTTAAGGCCTTGGACGATTTTTCCTGGGGTTCCCCATAGAACTCGTCCACCCCTTAATATAAGGGAATCCATGGCCCAAATTGCAATATCTTATAATTACAATTCCAGTCCCTTAAGTTTAATTAATCTCTTTTAGTCACAAAACTAATTACCAATTAATTATTGACTAATATTAGTTAAACAATATGATTTCTCCTTTAATATATTATTCTCATAATATATTAATAAATCATATTTAATCATTTCTCTCCATAATTCATCCTATTAAGTTGCTTTGGTGAAGGCAACCCAAAAGGATCATGCACCATCGGGTCAAGTACATACCAAAATAGTTATGGACTTAGACACTAATCCAACACATACAATGGCGCATTGCTTCCTTATCCATCAGGTTTGGTGGTTTTGGTTTATACTTGGTAGTAGAGGCTACTTCATATGCTTTTGTTGCCTCAAGGGCCCAAATTTGGGTATTGCAAGACCACATCTTACAGGATAGCGGCATATATGGTATGGATTCTGATTATGATGGTGCCTTGGCTTCTCTTCGTAACAAGCTCCCAAATTCTGACCTTAGCAGTTTTACTACTAAAGACACCCCCCCCCCTAAATCCCAAAATACGCTGGCGAGTGCCCTTTTTCGTAAAATTGTCCAAGGTATGGAAGTTCATCTCGACATGACGGCCCGTCAGAAAGCGGTTTTTCCAGTGCTTATGTGCACCACATGCCCAAGATTTTCTTCTTGCTATCCCTATAGATGTGATTGGCCAACATATGTCTCCTGTGGAGTATCGTACTATCCTCAAATATTGACTCATGATTCCAATATTCCCAGCTGACGAGATATGTCCGGTGTGTCGCAAGGCATGTTTGGACTCCTTTGGAGAGCATGCAGTTCACTGTAAAGAACTCTCGGGGTTCAAATACTAGCACGATATGGTCAGAGATGTTTTGTTCGATATATTTAAGCGTGCAGGAGCTTCCGTTAAGAAAGAGGCACCTGTGAATTTCTTGATTGACCCGACAGAAGGAAGGTCAACCCTTAGACCGGCTGATATTTTGATTTTTGGATGGATCGGAGGGAAACATGCATGTGTGGACCTTACAGGGGTATCCCCTCTCATGGGCTTAAGGGCGGGGGGTTTCACGGCAGGACTGGCTGCTTTAAAAGCTGCTACCGGCAAAGTCGGCAAACATGAGAAATCGTGCATGGAAAATCAACACGTGTTCATACCATTTGCGTTTGATACGTTTGGTTTCCTCGTACCGGATGCGGTAGAGCTTCTTAATAGAGTACAACGGATTATGCATTGCAATGGTATATCTCCTAGTTCTATGAATGTAGTCTTTAAAAGATTGAGTTTTGCTATACAAAAAAGCTTAGCAACGCAGCTTGTTGCCTGTTTGTCATCTCATTTGTTGTACAATGATAATTAAATAAAAAAATTGATATAAAAATAAAAAAATAAAAAATAATAAAATAATAAAAAAAATCTTCATATCAATTCCCCGAGCACTTATAATCTTGAAGGCATATGGTACTATTTCTCTTGATTTGTAGCCTTGTGGAATTGCTACTGTTACTATTTAGAAAAAAAATGGTTGTAAAACAGTTGACTTTTATCAATTACGATTGTAACATGAATATAAATATGAAATAAGTATAGGTTTTGCTTAATTGTAGCAAAAATTGTACTTTTTTACAGTGTTTTAAAAACCGGTTCGAACCGGCCGGTCGAACCGGGAACCGGAGGTGAGGGCGGTTCGATTTGGACCGGTTTTATAATGATTTCCTGACCGGATTGAACCGACCGGTTTTGGTAAAAAACCGGTTCAACCGGCTGAATTGAACCGGAATGGACCAGGTTGAACCGGACATTCTTGGATTTTTGTGTTTGTTTTGATCTTCTTTGTTTGGTTTTGACTTCTATAATGATTGTTTTTATATGTTGCATTCTATTTACGTTTGTAATACTAAAAAGATGACAAGTTTTTGTAATCAATGCATGCAGGATAATTAAAAACATATAAAAATATAGAGCCGGTTTGACCATCTGGTTGAACCAGTTAAACCGATTGAACCGAAAAATATCACTCGACCGATTCAATTAAAAAACCAATTTTTAAAACATTGCTTTTTTTATATATGAAATATATATTATAGTATGTAAGCAATACACAAAAGGACTATATGCGGGGTGTGTGGTTGCCAACTCGCCAAGTAATACATTGGTGATCACTTTTCCTTTACGACAAATCTCCCTTTTGCGTTGGTGTTTTTAGTTTTTGTTGTAAAGGGTAAGCCAAAGGAAATGTTAAAAATAATACTAGTAGTGTCAAAGGAGAGTAGGAGACGATTAATCCACCCACTTTCTATTGATTCAAAGTTAAGTCTTTTCGATTTACTTAAAAACACATACACACATATATACACAAGCTTTCTTATTAATAAAACATTATTCAATTTATTTAGTAAAATACTTTTCTCTTGTTTACTCTTAGTTTATTGTTCAATAGTTCTATTTTTCTATAATCTCTTAAGTTGCTATTCAAAAAAGTAAGTTTTTATTGAATAACTTTTTTTCAATTCTAAAATCATAAATTCAGTTAGGTACTTAATATAGAAAATTTGTTTATATGTATTTTCAAGATTCAAAAATTCATTATAAAAAGAACTCATTTATAAAATATAATATGCGTATATATTTCGTGCTTTTGATCAAATCGAATTTTCAAACAGTTATAATTTTATGTTTAGGTAGATGTTTTTTATATTTATATAACATTATGTAACTTTTTTAAAATATCATTGGAAACAATTTGAAAAATCATGGGAGTTTTAAATGTATGTAGTGAAAGGAAAATGCTTCTTTTATGGTCAAAATAGATCAAACTCGGACCGATTCAACTAAATATATTAAACTACATTTTTTTTTCTAGTGAAACCCAGTTTGTATATATTTCGTGTTTTTGAATCAAAGTGATTTTTCAAACAGTTATAACTTTAGGTTTAGGTAGATGCTTTTTTATATTTATATAAAATTATGTAACTTATTTATAATATTATTAGAAATAATTTGAAAAATCATAGGAGTTTCAAATGTTTGTTGTGAAAGGAAAATGATTAATTTATCGGTCCAAATTGATCCAGCTTCAGTTCAACTCAATATACCCAACTACATAATTTTTTTTTAATAACTGAAGCACGGTTTAAACCTAAAAAAATTCGGTTAAAAACCATATCATAATCCTCTAAGGATTTATGTTGGTTTATTTTGGTAGCGTTTGATATTTATGTTGGTTTATAGCCTACGTATTAAGGATTTATCATTTCCAAGTGGAGCTTAGTTTTCTTTACTGAACATATCATAATCTTAAAAACATAAGAAACAATTTTACGCGTGAAAATTTTCAAACTTTCACAATTTTAAATATATTCGTGAATTTGCGAGCAAATCCCAAAAGCTTTTTTCATCTTCATAAATGGTCTATTTCATGTGAGAAAAAATTCAAAAACTATTATGTTTGGTTTGCCATTTTTCACGAAATACAACGTTAATTTTTATGAAAGAATGAAAAATAATCGTGTGAGATTAGGCTTCCACATAAGTTATTCTAAAGAATAACGTTTCATTTTATCTTGTTTGTATACGTTGTAATAATTTAGATTATGTTTATTTTAATTTTTATTTCTTACTGTCAATATATATATTTTTTTCAAAATAGATCATTTTTAATTATTTTTTAACATTCTGTCAAAATTACGATTATAGATCATTTTTAAGATTGTTGTTCATTAACTTTACATACAATATACAATCTGTTTTTTTATTGCAGATATAATTTTCGTTTATATTTAATAAAATCATGGATTTCATATAATAAATTATATAATTGTTGAAATTTGTTATGTTATTGATATTTTTGTATTATCATCAAATAATTTAATTGGTTGTTAGATTTATATGTTTTCTTCTATCCTAGTAACATTAATGGATAGATAAAAGTTGATTGATATTTTAGGAAAAATTAAAATATGATTCACGTTACGTTAACAAAAAATTAAAACAAATTTTTTATTTATTTATTATGATTCTTAGATTAGTAATCTTATTGAAGATAGACATTTTCAAGAAAAAACTTCAAATCAATGATTATTAGATTATCAGTTATTGAGTTTTTGTACATTTAAAAAGTGGAATTGTTATTATCGATTATTATTTTTCAAAAATGGCTAGACTAAATAATTTAACTTTAATACTTTTCATTTGTACAAATTAGTTTCATAGTTCTTTGGCATTGTGAACTGGAAAGTGGTAAGTCATTTGCTGATCTGAAGCCACCAAACCGAGTAGCATGTTTCCATCAATTCCTTCAAAATAAGCATGATTGAAAGATTTTCTTTTTAAGCTTAAAAATGAATACCACATATAATGCTTTATAAAATCTCCTGTAATAAATGAATGGTTTTTTGCTACATGTCCTCATTTCATTCATTTGGATACATGGTATTTTCTAGAATTTTTAAAATTTATATTTTCCACTTGTCATTTTATTGTATTTTTTATTTTATTAGATTAAAATTCCACATTTAATGTTTAAGGTAGTATATATATATATATATATATATATATATATATATATATATATATATATATATATATATATATATATATATATTAGAAAGAGTTTATATATGTAATGTATTCAATACATTAAAATCTCATTAATTTTAATAATTCAAATTGTTTTCATTTTTCTTATAAATTCAAACTTTTCAAATTGTTAAAATTTTATATTTGTTTTTTTTAATTAAACTCATGTAATACATGGGTCTCACACCTAGTTCGTAGTATTAACCAACAAAAAACATCCTGAATTACTCGCAAAGCAAAAAGGCCAACAATCATAATCATAAAGTTTATAACACTTTTTACCATAAACCATAACTAATTTAACCTTTTGACATTACTAAAACCTTACTGAAACCAAAGTCAATTCTATTAACTCTAATTATAAAGATAACTCATACCTCACATTTAAGAAAAAACCTTTCTGATTTTTTATCTAATTTTCTTTGATTTTGACCGACATGCCCTTATTAATCCAATTCCAAAACTTTTCAACCTCGTTTAAGCTTTTGATAAGACCGATAAATTCTATATTCAATACAAAATGCCAAAATGATTCAATTAACAAGAATGATATGAAGTGAAATAAGCTCAATCTTCAATAACGAAGCACAAAGAACAATTCGCAATACAAAACAATTATATGAGTGCTAGACGGTTACAAAAAGATCGATACAAAAGAAAGAGAACATAGCACTAATTATAGATAGACTAAACTAAGAAACCGAAGATGGACATGCCCATTTTGGAATCACAATTTGTACACAAAAATTACAAACACAACCATTTGACACAAAAAAGATGCTTAACAATCTCCCTCTTTGTGTCAAATTCGGAATGAGTCTTCTTGGTTGTCTTTGCGCATCAAAGATCTTTGGCATGATTTTCAGAAGTGAGCCACTAACTGACAAATACCAACGTATCATATCTGAATCACATTTCACATGAGTAGCAAGATTGGCTTTGTGAGCTTCAGCAGAGGACAAGATTATTCTGAGAGCCGTTGACAAGTATAGGTGTTTGTCCTTTAAAAACAACATGTCGTTCTGAATCACTTCACCTTCTTGTCTCTTGTAAACAATGGTCCAATGTTTCTTCCAAATGAGTCCTGCCTTCAAGTGTTGAATATATTTCGGTTGTTCTTCTAGCTTCAGAATGAGTTTCTTCTTCAGAACCGATGTGATCTCAACGTCCATCTTTGCAATTTCAATAATATAACACTTGATCATCCGCTTCATGTGTGCAAAAATGGGATCATATTTCTAAAAATCCTTTGCCACAATGTAGAAAAGAGATACCAATTGTAGGGTTTTATGAAAGGCAAGTCAGCCAAGGTGAACTCATGAAGCACGTGATTGGCACATCGAAATCCTTTAAACTGGATATTCAAGAAGTCTTCAGTCTGAATTGGCAATCCAACCTTCAATGCCATTATTCTCTTTAAGCTCCATGTCTCATACTGCGGTTTCGCATATTTCAAGTAAAACAAAGAGAGCTTTTGGTTTACTCATCATCAGAGATCATGGATTTCTCAATCTTTTCAAAGCACCGAAAGAGAAATGCCCTTGGAGTGATGGGAAAATCGAACTGACATTCCACATCATTATTTAAGTCAAAAGACATTGTGGGCTCCAACCAGTAGAGATTTGGATTATTTATAGCTTCTTTCTGAATACGCTCGAAAGACTAGGTAGGAAACAGAGATATTTTAGTTCCCAAAATCAGTTTTGCATTTTTGGCTTCAACTTCTTCTGCCTCGAATTTCTTCTGAAGATCCATGAGCTCGTCAAGCTCTTTGTCTCATTTCTCTCTAGCAATCCTTTCCGATTCAGATATCATCGTATTTTCTTCGTTGTCATCTTTAGAAATTCCTTTTCCTTTGTCTTTTCCTGATCCGGAATCTTCGTTATCCTTTCGATCAGTCTCAGTCTTTCTCTTTTCTTCCTCATCTTCCCCTTGTTTCGTAGAATCCCCGCTTACCAAAAACACTCTGTATCTGATTTAGCATGGCTAAAACAGGAGATTCTGTTGAATAGAGAGAGTGAACAAGGAATCGCGTGTTTCAACGATCCGCATCAAGTATTGGTTGATTTCAGAAATGTACCCTTTTACTAAAGATCTCTCTTCATCAAGTTGGGCAATGTCCTGGGTAGCATTCTTCAGCTTCTTAGTGAGAACCTTAGTTTTCTGAGTTTTCTCAGCTAATTCATCCATTATCTTATTTTCAATTCATTTGGACACATGATATTTTCTAGAACTTTTAAAAATTTATATTTTCCACTTGTCATTTTATTGTATTTTTAATTTATTAAATTAAAATTCCACATTTAATGTGTAAGGTAATATATATATATATATATATATATATATATATATATATATATATAAAGTATTTATTAGAAATAGTTTATATATGTAATGTATTCAATACATTAAAATCTCATTAATTTTAATAATTCAAATTTTTTTCATTTTTCTTATAAATTCAAACTTTTCAAATTGTTAAAATTTTATATTTGGTTTTTTTAATTAAACCCATGTAATACATGAGTCTCACACCTAGTTCGTAGTAATAACCAACAAAATATATCCTGAATTACTCGCAAAGCAAAAAGGAGAACAATCATAATCAAAAAGTTTATAACACTTTTTACCATAAACCATAACTAATTTAACCTTTTGACATTACTAAAACCTTACTGAAAGCAAAGTCAATTTTATTAACTCTAATTAAAAAAGATAACTCATACCTCACATTTAAGAAAAAACCTTTCTTATTTTTTTTATCTAATTTTCTTTGATTTTGACCGACATACCCTTATTAATCCAATTCCAAAACTTTTCAACCTCGTTTAAGCTTTTGATAAGACCGATAAATTCTATATTCAATATAAAATGCCAAAATGATTCAATTAACAAGAATGATATGAAGTGAAATAAGCTCAATCTCCAATAACAAAGCACAAAGAACAATTCGCAATACAAAACAATTATATGAGTGCTAGATGGTTACAAAAAGATCGATACAAAAGAAAGAGAACATAGCACTAATTATAGATAGACTAAGCTAAGAAACCGAAGATGGACATGCCCATTTTGGAATCAGAATTTGTACACAAAAATTACAAACACAACCATTTGACACAACAAAGATACTTAACAATCTCCCTCTTTGTGTCGAATTCGGAATGAGTCTTCCTGGTTGTCTTTGCGCATCAAAGATCTTTGGCATGATTTTCAGAAGTGAGCCACTAACTGACAAATACCAACGTATCATATCTGAAACACATTTTACATGAGTAGCAAGATTGGCTTTGTGAGCTTCAGTAGAGGACAAGATTATTCTGAGAGCCGTTGACAAGTATAGGTGTTTGTCCTTTAAAAACCACATGTCGTTCTGAACCACTTCACCTTCTTGTCTCTTGTAAACAATGGTCCAATGTTTCTTCCGAATGAGTCCTGCCTTCAAGTGTTGAATATATTCCGGTTGTTCTTCTAGCTTCAGAATGAGTTTCTTCTTCAGAACCGATGTGATCTCAACGTCCATCTTTGCAATTTCAATAATATAACACTTGATCATCCGCTTCATGTGTGCAAAAATGGGATCATATTTCTAAAAATCCTTTGCCACAATGTAGAAAAGAGATACCAATTGTAGGGTTTTATGCAAGGCAAGTCAGCCAATGTGAACTCATGAAGCACGTGATTGGCACATCGAAATCCTTTAAACTGGATATTCAAGAAGTCTTCAGTCTGAATTGGCAATCCAACCTTCAATGCCATTATTCTCTTTAAGCTCCATGTCTCATACTGCGGTTTCGCATATTTCAAGTAAAACAAAGAGAGCTTTTGGTTTACTCATCATCAGAGATCATGGATTTCTCAATCTTTTCAAAGCACCGAAAGAGAAATGACCTAGGAATGATGGGAAAATCGAACTGACATTCCACATCATTATTTAAGTCAAAAGACATTGTGGGCTCCAACCAGTAGAGATTTGGATCATTTATAGCTTCTTTCTGAATACGCTCGAAAGACCAGGTAGGAAACATAGATTTTTTAGTTTCCAAAACCAGTTTCGCATTTTTGGCTTCAACTTCTTCTGCCTCGAATTTCTTCCGAAGATCCATGAGCTCGTCAAGCTCTTTGTCTCATTTCTCTATGGAAATCCTTTCCGATTCAGATATCATCGTATTTTCTTCGTTGTCATCTTTGAAATTTCCTTTTCCTTTGTCTTTTCCTGATCCGGAAGCTCTGTTATCCTTCCGATCAGTCTCAGTCTTTCTCTTTTCTTCCTCGTCTCCCCCTTGTTTCGTAGAATCCCTGCTTACCAAAACACTTTGTATCTGATTTAGCATGGCTAAAACAGGTTGTAGCTTTTCTGAGAGATTCTGTTGAATAGAGAGAGTGAACGAGGAATCGCGTGTTTCAGCGATCCGCATCAAGTATTGGTTGATTTCAGAAATGCACCCTTTTACTAAAGATCTCTCTTCTTCAAGTTGGGTAATGTCCTGGGTAGCATTCTTCAGCTTCTTAGTGAGAACCTTAGTTTTCTGAGTTTTCTCAACTAATTCATCCATTATCTTATTCTCAATTGCTAGATCCTTTTGCAATTTGTCGATTTGAGCAGTGATGGATGAATTAAGATCAACATTATTAAGTTTGATGTTTGCCCGGAGCTTTGAGACAGCTTCCTTTTCATCCTTCTAGGAAGAGTGAAATCCCTCAGTCACTTTGTTCATATTAGCTGTGTTTGTGTCGGAGGAGATTCAAAAATCAATCCTGAATTCGTTCACCTCGTGATGTGGATTTTCGAATTGTCTGGTTGCTTCAGAAATCCTGTTTTCAGAATCATGGATGGCCTTGGAGGATTCTCCAATGAATTTCACATTTGTGGTAGTGAGCATCTCAATAGTGGCCCTATGAGTGGTTAGTAGATTCTCCTACTTTGTTAAAGAGAATGTGTTGGACTGCTCTCGGATCAAGTCAAGTTTCTCATTCAACTGTTTGAATTGAACCTTCATCATAGGAGCTTCATCTTCATCACTATTGACGTTGAGTATGGTTGGGGAAGTTGTGGGTAAGGAAGGAATGGATGAGATCGGTATTGTTGTGGGATTGGTTGAGCTTGTAGTTTTGGAATATGTACAGTTAAATGGTGGTGGTAGAGGTGGAGGGGTGAGGTTTGGAAATGGTTCTTTGATAACGGAGTCAAAAATATATGAGGTGCGAGGAGATTAGGGGTGGAGGAGATGATACCTTCGGAAGAGGTTCTGAAGTTGGAGGTTCAAAAACATGGGCTGTATCATCCTCCTCATGATGTAGAATATTAGTTGCATGTGCTTCTGATAAATTCCTCTCATCTGAATTATATTAGAGAAAAGGACTGGGCGATATGGTTTTTGCAGCATGTTTCTTGGTTATCTTTAGAATTCTCACAGTTTCCGAACATGAAGCTTTTTATTTTCTCTTTCCTCCTGTTTTCGGTTTGTCTCCTGTATTGATACCTGTTGTAGCTCTGCAAGGATTGGGCGGATTCCAAATGTGGGCAAGGAATGATACGTCATAATAAGGTCATTTTCCATAAGAAATTTTGCTAACATCACCTCCGAGATTGAACCAACGAAATCAAAATTTTGTAGATCTGGCATGATGAACGTTGTGGTCTATAGCTTGGGGATATAGGTCATCAAGGAGTCCTTCATCACTTGTAACACCCTGTTCTGAATCGATTCCTAGTTTGAGGCTGTGGCCTGAAGATCAGTCATCATAAGGAGTAGGGCTTTTGAAAAGGTAAGATCTAGGCCTATTTGGGTGCGGGTGAGGTATTAAAAGTGATCCGGGTGTTCGGTTCGTGTTTTTGAGCCTAGGGATATTTCAGTAAAGTGTCAATTCGGGCTTTTGTGAAAAAATGGACTTTTTTTTGGAAGGTTTTACGAAAGGTATGAGTTAATAGAAGTGTAGGACTTCTCATCACCTTTCCGTGGATATAAGGATCATCGTAATCGGGTTTATAACAAAGAAGGAATGTCCTTCGGAAGTTTCATGGTTTTCAGGCTTTGCCGATTATGTGGGGCGTACTAGTGAAGAAGGTAACTTGGAGTACGTTGGGCGTACTGACCAAGATGTTTGCGAATGTTCCTCGGAGTACGTTGGGCGTACCGTATGTATGTTGGGCGTACACCAGTCAGATCAGAACCATATTTTAGGGTCTTGGACCCTATTTAAGCTCCTTATCTCATAACTTAACCCTAATTTCTTCAGCCTCCACCCCTCTAAACCATAGATATCGACCCTTAGCCCTCATTTGAGTGATTTTTGAGCTTAGATGGCCATTAGAGGATTATTTTGGTGCTTTTGAATAAGGTGCTCATTCTTGAAAACTCATTGAAGAAGATAGAGCTTTTACATCTAGAACTACACCAACTTTTGGCTATCATTTGAGGTATAAACTCTTAAACTTGGTGGTTACTTCCTTAAGATCTCTTTTGTTGAGTTTTTTGAACTTTTTGGTCCCAAAGATGAAGCTTTATGGGTCAAATCCAATTCTTAGGCTTAGGGTTGCCACCCTTGGTGCTATTTGAGACCCTAAAACAGAAAGTTGGCATCTTGAAGGTCTTAATGGGTTCATGCATGAGTTAGGGTCACTTTTATGGAAGTAGAATGCCATTTTTGGAGTTTGGGTTTGTTTGGGGCATGCAAAGTCACCAAGTCAGTGAATTTATGGGTTTAGACGTTAAGTATAGCTCAGATCTATGATTTGGACTTGTTGGGTCAAGTATTAAGCACTTAATGGATTTTGTGCAGGAGCTGTTTGTATGTTGGGTGTACTATGTTGTATGTTGCATGTATAGTCCATTTTCCCAGTACGCTAAGTGTATAGAAGAGTTACGTTGGGCATACGCTCTCAGGAGGGTTTGGGCCTTGGTGGAGTTCACACCTCTGGGCCCTAATGGTTTTGGGCCTGGATTTGCTGATTGTTAGGCCTGAATGTATCTTTGGGCCAATATTGTAATATTTGGGCCTATTCGGCTTTGTAGCCCAATATAGAAATAGACTTCACATTTGTGGGCCTCGGTTTGGGCCAATTCTTGGACTAGGTTGCTAAGGGCCTTCGTGGGTCAATTGAGGGTAGTGTTATCAACTAAGGAGAATATTGGGCTTTAGGATAAGGCCCCTCAGAAAGGTCCAGGCCCAATTTAGAAAATTGGGCCATTAATGGTTTTATGGATATTGTAGTGTTGGGCTTTAGTTTTAGGTTTGGGCCTTAGTTTTGGATAATACTAGGCTAGGGGTAGAATGGTCATTTTATCCCATGCATGGATTAAGGATTATGCTATGGGACCCAATTGCTAATTGGGTATATTGATTTGTATTGATAGCTCAAGAAGTGGACATGGCAGCAGCTAAGGATTTCATTCAGGAGGCATCTGCATTCGAAGTGAGTCTTCTCACCATATCAATGGGTCTAAGGCACCAAGGCCGACCCATTTGATGTTATATGGATTACTAGTTGGTTATGTGATATGTCGCTAGGATATTTGTATGGAAGTCCCTGGGGGGTTCCCGTGGCAGTATATTAAGACCATGAAAAGGTTCCCATGGCATTTGGTATAAGTTCCCGGAGGGTTTCCATGGCTTCCTAGTATGGTTGCTTGTTTAGCTCGTATGATATTTCCATGATTAGTGTAGACCACATGGAGGTTCCCACGAGAATTGGCCTAGACCATGTGGGGGTTCCAGTGGCGGCTAGTAAAGACCACGTGGGGGTTTCCCATGGCACTTGGTGTAAGACCTTGGAAGGTTTCCAAGGATTCCATATATGTTTATAGGCATGGTTTGTGTAGTTGATATGATTTATGTGATTATGTGTATAAGACCTTGGAGGGTTTCTGTGGCTCCCTTATATTATTGTCATGGCCTATGTGATTGATATGGTTTAGGCAGTTATATGGATTATTCGGAGTATGTGGGGTATGCTCTGGGAAACTCACTAAGCTTCGTGCTTAAAGTTTTGTTTATTGTTTCAAATATCATCGATTTGGAAATGAAGAGATCGGATTGATCGCAGTGCACACACCTATGATTTCTGCAGTAAATGAATTTGGGATGAACTCTGATAAATGTTTTACTTAACGATGTTTGGAATGGTTGAAATAAATTGTATCAATGTTTTGGCTATATTAAAAATGAAATTTATACCCTTGATTTTTGGGTCGTTACAAGTTGGTATCAGAGCCTTGGTTTGAGAGATTTGGACATACCTTCGGGTGTGTCTGAACTCAAACTAAGGATCTGTAAAGTTTTCAAAAGAAAAGTGTTTTCAAGGAAAAGTTTTCTAAGAAAAGAAAGGGTGTCGTGCATGCAATCGGCCGAGCTCAAATAAGTTTCCCCATAATACCCATATATGTTACCTGTTATGACTTGATTTATGAATCTGTGAATCACATGCTAGTTAGGGCTAGGGGAGATGCCATTATATGTTGTGTGAGATGGTAGACTTGCATGGTAGTGCTAAGTAGTTAGCAATAGATTGGCCTAATATGTGGTGTTTGTAGCCTTGGGAATATTTGGATGCCATGCTAGAATGAGAATGATTATTGGTATTAGTAACTGCTAGGTGTATGCTTTTAAAATTGTATATGGTTAGGATCTTATAGCCTTAGAATAATTGATTTGGCCTTATTTCCTGTTCCTTGTCTGGTTGTGGTCCTATGGTAGAGTCTATTATTCGATAGTCTGTTAGATCATGTTCTATGTATAGTTTGCATGCATAAGGCAACAGACAGTGAGGATGGATGGATAAGGACAACATGGGTTGTGGTATGTGGGCTGAATGTTCTATGATGGTTCTTTGGATTGGAGTGCTACTGCACGAATGCTTCTTGCTTTGTGCTTTGTGGAACTCTTGAGCGATGGGAGTCAGCTACTAAGTGCATATGACGATATCCAGGAGGTGGAAGGCTGGCATCATGGGGATTTCTTCATCAGTTGATGGTAGGTCGAGGTTGTGAACGTAGGAAAGCCTAAGATATGCTCCAGTGAGTTAATGGGGTGGTTCGGTGAGTTTGGGAACCTAAGGGGAGCCTAGGGGTTACTTTGGTGGGTGTTATGTTGCTGTTTAGCGGATATTTGGTGCACCAGTGGAGTAGGTGACTTAGAGGATTCGGGAGGATTGTCGAGGAAAGTATGGATAGGTGTGGAAGGTAGTATGGGCATGTACTACTGAATGCACATGATCCATACTCGAATCGGTGAGAGTCTTGGAGAATCTAAGAAGCGTATGGGAAGGATAATTATTGGCTATGTTGGATCGTAGGGATAGCTACATTACCAGACGAGGATGAGTACACTCGAGGAAGGACCATGGTTTGGTCCTGACTCCATTGGTGAGCTAGTAGGAATTTGAGTTCGCGTTGGGTTAGGGAGATGGAAAGTGTTTTCCGCACTAGTCCCTACCCCTTAGGAGCTGAGGCTCGGTTCACCGTGGATCTTTTGTATCGGACGACACAGATTGATTGTGCGTTCTATTGTGCTTACGGGTTGGAGACTATGTCTTGGAAGTAGTTGTAGTCAGATAGAGCAGGGGTTGCTCCAGCTACTGCAGCTCAACTATTGACAATTGAGTTGGTGAGGGTGTCGGGGTGCGAGAGCCTGAATGATATGATTTCTAGAACCCCCGAGCTGGAGACTGATTTGTAGTACTCAGGAATGGGATCCAGATTCTGATTCTGGCTCCGGCTCAGGAGAAGGACCTGGGCCAATCGATACGCGATCGCGAGAGTTCATCTCATCGGAGATTACTCACAAAGTTATGGAATGGACCTCAGTGGTCTTGCGTTCATCCAAGGAAAGGATTTTGGGAGCTCTCATTAGTCGTCCCGAGGCCTTTTAGTCTGAAATCGTCGCGGGGTAATTGGGGGCCCATCTAGAGCCCAAAGCTTGTGGATCCTTAGAATCTTTTAGGAAAGGAGGATCCTATTGTTAGTTCCTGTCATCAGGATCGGAAGGGAGTTTGCACCATGTCCTCAGGATGGTCGAGGTATCTCAAAAGGAGGTGATCAAGATTCCTTCAGATGGTTGCGGATATGTTATCTTCTGCCACTTCAAGTGGATATCAGGAATTTGTAATGCTTTGGAATTTTGATTGAGTTAGAATGAGTGAGATCTTGGGTTATGAAGTATTGTCATATGTCATTTTGTATGTCGAGGAGTCTTTGATGAATCTGTAGATGGTCGTATCTTGCGGGTGGGTCCCGCGTGTACCATCATTGTGCCTGGTCTTTTTTTAGGAATTAGTTGGATAGTTCCCCAGTAAATTCAGGGATCAGTGGGTCTGTCATTGTTCGGGTATGATCGATATCTGCCTATGGAAGAAATTGGGAGTTCAAGGAACTACCGTTGCTAGAAAAAGAATGGTAGCATGAAGATGGTGGTGTCAGTTGCATGAATTGTTGAATCATTGGATGTGTCAAGGGAATCATACCTTCGCGTGGGTTAAAGTCAGTTAGAGTATAATGATTCCTTGAGGATAGAAATTAGATTAGAGGGTCGTCGGTGCATGGAAAAGTTATGGTTCTTAGTCGTCGGCATGAGAAATCAAGGAATTGATATCATAACATGGAAGGTGATTTGGAATATTGTACGCGTT